AGGGGAAATTTGGGAGCCCCCCCCCCACCCCAAAATCCACACCCCCCCTAAAAAAAATCCCCTCCCCCACCCCCCCAGAACCGCAATTTGGGGGAATTTTGGGGAATTTCGGGACGTTTTTCAGCATTTTTGGAGACGGGAGGAGGAATTTGGGGAATTTGGGGGAATTTTTCCTGCATTTTGGGGGGTCCCGAGGGGGCTCTAAAAATTCCCATTTTTGCTGAATTTTGGGTGAATTTTGGGGGCATTTCCCGGCTCTTCCTTGGAATTCCGGGAATTCCAGGAGCTCCCGAAACTTTCGGACTTTCCCAAAAAAAAAAACCCCAAAAATCCCCCAAAACCCCCAAAACTTCCCCAAAAATCCCCCAAAACCCCCAAAACTTCCCCAAAAATCCCCCAAAACCCCCAAAACTTCCCCAAAAATCCCCCAAAACCCCCAAAACTTCCCCAAAAATCCCCCCAAACCCCCAAATTTTCCCAAACCCGTTCCGGGGCGGATTTTCCCGGGGTTTTTTTTTTTTTTTTTTTTGGGGGGGGGTTTTTTTTTTTTTTTTTTTTTTTTTCTCCCTTAGGATTTTTTGGGGGTTTTTTTTTGGGGCGAATCCCAGAATTTTTGGGGTTTTTTCAGAGGGCGAGCTGGCAGTGGCAGAGCTCCTTGTACATCAGGCGGCGCAGGTGCGGCATGTCCTGCTGCGTGAAGCTGAACGGCCGCCCCAGCGCCAGGAATTTGCAGTACTGGAACCAAAATTTACCCCCCCCCCAAAAAAAAATTACTTTGGGCGAGGAAAAATAATAAAAAAATAAAATTTTGGGGGGTTTGGCGAGGGGAAAATAAAAATCGGGGGGGGAAAGGGTGAAAAAAGCAGAAGAAATGGGGTTTTTTTCTGAGTTTTCTGCTTGGAAAGGTGAAAAAATTGTGAATTTTGAGGTGGGAATCCAACACAAATCCCACTGGAAATATCCCAGTTTCACCCCCAAAAAAAATTGTTAAAAATTATCGTAAAAATCAACCAAAATCCTGCCCACAAAATTCCCCAAAATCCCCTTAAAATCAGCCCAAAAAATCCATAAAATCCACCCAAAAAAAGCCTCAAAATCCACCCAAAACATCCCCCAAAAAAATCCCCAAAATCCACCCAAAAAATCCCCAAAATCCACCCAAAAAATCCCCAAAATCCACCCAAAAAGTCCCAAAATCCACCCAAAACATCCCCAAAATCCACCCAAAATATCCCCAAAATCCACCCAAAATATCCCCAAAATCCACCCAAACAAATCCCCCAAAATCCACCCAAAAAATCCCCAAAATCCACCCAAAAAGTCCCAAAAAAACACCCAAAAAAATCCCAGAAAATGCCCCTGAAAACCCCCCCAAAATCCCCCCAAAAACCCCAAAATAATCCCAAAATCTCCCCAAAAAAACCCAAAATAATCCCAAAATCCACCCAAAAAACCCCAAAATAATCCCAAACCCCCCCAGAATAAAAACAACAAAAAAATCCCCCAAAATCCCTGAAAATCTCCCCAAAAAAGCCCCAAAAAATCCCAAAAAATCCCCGAAATTCTCCCAAAATTTCCCCAAATTTTCCCCAAAATCTCCCAGAAATCCCCAGAATCTCCCAAAATCCCCAAAACTCCCCAAAATTCCCCCAAATTCCCCCAATCCCCCTCACCTGCAGCACGAAGGCGCCGCAGTCGCTGTCGTTGTTCTGCCGGGCGACGTTCTGGGGAAAAAAAACCAAATTTGGCCATTTCGGGGGGATTTTTGGGGGAATTTTGGGTGATTTTGGGGGGATTTTTGGGGGAATTTTGGGTGATTTTGGAGCCTCCCAGGACGGATTTTTTTGGGGGAATTTTGGGTGTTTTTTGAGGGATTTTTTTTTATTTTTGGGGGAATTTTGGGTGTTTTTGGGGGGGATTTTTGGCAGAATTTTGGGTGTTTTTTGGGGGGATTTTTTGGGATTTTTGGGGAATTGGGGGTGTTTTTTGAGGGATTTTTTTGATTTTTGGGGAATTTTGGGCGTTTTTGGGGGGATTTTTGGGGATTTTCGGGGAATTTTGGGTGTTTTTGGGGAGATTTTTTGGGATTTTTGGGAGAATTTTGGGTGTTTTTTGGGGGGATTTTTTGGGATTTTTGGGGAATTGGGGGTGTTTTTTGAGGGATTTTTTTGATTTTTGGGGAATTTTGGGCGTTTTTGGGGGGATTTTTGGGGATTTTCGGGGAATTTTGGGTGTTTTTGGGGAGATTTTTTGGGATTTTTGGGAGAATTTTGGGTGTTTTTGGGGGGAATTTTTGGCAGAATTTTGGGTGTTTTTTGGGGGGATTTTTGGGGATTTTTGGAGAATTTTGGGTGTTTTTTGGGGGGATTTTTGGGAGAATTTTGGGTGTTGTTTTGGGGATTTTTTGGGATTCTTTTGGGGAATTTTGGGTGTTTTTTGAGGGATTTTTGGGAGAATTTTGGGTGTTTTTTGGGGGGATTTTTTGGGATTTTTGGGGAATTTCGGGTGTTTTTGGGGGGATTTTTAGGGATTTTTTCGGGGTAATTTTGGACGGGTTTTGGGGGGATTTTTGGGGATTTTTGGGAGAATTTTGGGTGTTTTTTGGGGGGTTTTTACAGATTTTTTTGGGGTAATTTTGGTTGTTTTTTTGGGATTTTTTGGGGGTAATTTTGGGGTTTTTTTGGGGCTCCCAGGGTGGATTTTTGGGAGGATTTTTAGGCATTATCATTAGAGGGATTTATTAATATTTATAATTAAAATTATGGGGAATTTTGGCGGTTCCCAGAGCCAAATCTTGGGATATTTTTGGGTTCTTTTGGGGATATTTTCGGGGTATTTTTTGGGATAATTTTGGGCATTTTTTGGAGTATTTTTAGGAGTTTTTTGGGATATTTTTGATGTATTTTTGGGTTATTTTGGGGGTATTTTGGGGATACTTTTGGGTATTTTGGCAGCTTTCTTGGGGCAGGGTTTTGGGGCACCACAAAATTGAATTTTGGGATATTTTTGGGTTATTTTGGGGATATTTTTGGGGTATTTTTTGGGTACTTTTGGATTTTTTTTTTTTAATACTTTTAGGTGTCTTTTAAGAATTTTTCAGGATATTTTGGGGGATTTTTGGGGTATTTTGGGAGTGTTTTTGGGGCAGGGTTTTAGGACCCCAAAAAACGGAATTTTGGGATATTTTTGGGTTATTTTGGGGACATTTTGGGGCTGGTTTTTGGGATACTTTTGGGTATTTTCTGGAACATTCCTGGGTGTTTTTTGGAACAGTTCTGGGGTATTTTTTGGGGTATTTTGGGGATGTTTTGGGCTATTTTGGTACCGTTTTCAGGACAGGGATTTGGGGCAGCAGGGAGCGTCCCGGGGCGGGATTTTGGGTGCGTTTTGGGTGGATTTGGGCCGTTTTTGGGGCTCCCCAATCACCATTTTGAAGGCTCCCCGCCAGCCCTCGCGGAAATCCGGCCGCTCCTTCTTGTCCGCCTCGGCCTGGAGGTAGCGGCAGATGTGCTGGGGGGCGGGGCCAAAAAGGGGGCGTGGTCAGCGAGGGGCGGGGCCAAACGGGGCGGGGCCAAACCCCCACCCCCACCCGGGTCTCCTCCTCCGAGCTCCGCCCACAAAAAGCCACGCCCACAAAGCCAAACATGGTTGTGCCCCACCCAGCCCTTAGGCCACGCCCCTCGGTTGTGATGACCACGCCCCGTTTTGGGGGCCACGCCCTTTCCCATTTAACCCTTCCCACGCCAGAATTGAAGTAATTTTAATATGCAAATTTTAACGGATTTCTGTTAACCCGAGCTAATTTAAATGCTTGGCCACGCCCCTTTTTTGGATGGCCACGCCCCCATTTAACCCTTCCCTCCACCAAACCCGTCCTGAACCACGAATAAACCGTGGGCGTGGCCGAACTCAAACCCCGCCCCTTTTTAACTTTGAAATGTCAAACCACGCCCACTTCTTGGGGCTGGCCACGCCCACATTTAACCCTTTCCCTTCACCAAACCCATTCCTAACCATGAATAAACCACGGGCGTGGCCAAACCCAAACCCCGCCCACTCTGATTTTAAAACACCAAACCACGCCCATTTATTGGGGTGTGGCCACGCCCCCATTTAACCCTTTCCCTTCACCAAACCCATTCCTACCCATGGGCGTGGCCAAACCCAAACCCCGCCCACTCTGATTTTAAAACACCAAACCACGCCCATTTTTGGGGTGTGGCCACGCCCACATTTAACCCTTTCCCTTCACCAAACCCATTCCTAACCATGAATAAACCACGGGCGTAGCCATACCCGAACCCCGCCCACTCTGATTTTAAAACACCAAACCACGCCCGGTTTTTGGGGTCTGGCCACGCCCCCCCCGCGCCGGCCCCGCCCACCTTGGGGCAGCGGCGGTTGAGCGTGCGCTGCGAGTCGAAGTAGGTGATGGTGCGGCGCGCCACGTCCACGGCCACCAGCGACCAATGAACTTCCAGGTGGATCGGGATCAGCAGCAGCTCCTTCCCGAAAATGTCCACCTGCCGAGGGGGCGGGGCCTCACCTGGGACACGCCCCACCGCGGGACACGCCTACCCCCCCCCCCCCCAAAAAAAAAACCCCCGCGGGAATCGGGGCCGGTTTGGGCGGAGTCCAGGGGAGGGAGGTGAAAGGTTCATGGGAGGCCACGCCCATTTGGGGGTGGGGTTAATGGCGAGGCCACGCCCACAGGAGGCCACACCCATCCGGGATAAAATCCTGCTGGGAACGAGGGGAAATTGGGTGGAATGAGGCAAAATCGGGCAAAACGGCCGGAGAGCGGAAAGGGGCGGTGCCGGGAAAGGCCACGCCCACTTTGAACAGCCACGCCCATGGGACAGAGGCGGGGCTTCCTGAGGCCACGCCCACCACAATAAAAAAAAACCACTAAAAATGAGCCCAAACTGAGCGGAATGAGCCCAATTTGGAAATGAGCTCCCAAAGCGAGGCCCCGCCCCCCTCATTAACCCCTCGCTGGCCCCGCCCACCTCATTAACCCCTCCCTGGCCCCGCCCACCGCTGGCCCCGCCCCTCACGTTCTTGGTCCAGCGCTGCACGCCCTCGTAGCCGCGGGTGCGGAGCTTGTCGTAGAAAAAGGAGTTGAAGAAATGCACCTGGGGAAGGGGAGGGGCTCACCTGGGACACGCCAGACACACCTGGACACACCCAGGACACACCCAGAAACACCTAGGCACGCCTGGGACACGCCCACAGAAACTGGGACACGCCTGGACGCACCTGGGAGACACCTGGGACACACCCAAACACACCTGGACACACCCAAACACACCTGGACACACCTGGGGGACTCCTGGGACACACCCAAACACACCTGGACACACCCAGGCCCCGCCCCCTCCCCGCTCACCTTGTCGGGCACGGCGTCCATCACCAGGTCCCCGTACATGTTCATCACCTGCGGCCCAAAATTCACCTGAGGGACCCAAAAAACCCCAAACTTCCCCCAAAAAACCCCAAATTCCCCCAAAAAAACCCCAAATTTCCCCCAAAACCCCAAATTCCCCTCAAAAAGCCATAAATTGTCCCCAAAACCGCCCGAAAAAACCCCAAAAAAAATCTATAAAAAATCCCCAGGGCCTCCCGGAGGCCCGGAAAATTCCGGAAAAATTCTGGAAAAATTCCCAAAATTCCCAAATTCCGTCCAGACCTGGTCATTGAGCCAGTTGGGGCCGTAGAGGGTCTGCAAACACCCCCCAAAACTGCCCCAAAAACCCCAAAAAAAATCCATAAAAAATCCCCAGCGCCTCCCGGAAGCCCGGAAAATTCCGGGAAAATTCTGGAAAAATTCCCAAAATTCCGGAGATTCCCGAATTCCGCCCGGACCTGGTCGTTGAGCCAGTTGGGGCCGTAGAGGGTCTGCAGGTCGTCCATGGTGAGCACGTGGCGCTTGTAGCTGACGCGGAAGCCGCGGAGCAGCGCGTTCCCCGGCAGGCGCTGGTAGGACTGCAGCAGCTGCTGCACCGAGCCCCGCCTGCGGGAATTCCCGGAATTCCCAGAAGCCGCCCCGAGTTCCCAAGAAATTCCCGGGACTCCTAAAATTCTCCTCCACGCCCGAAAAAACCCCGGCGGAATTCCGGCCGGAATCGCCCCAGAATCGGCCCCGAAATCCGCCCCAAAATCCACCCAAAAATCCCACCCAAAATCCGCCCCAAAATCTGCCCCCAAAATCCCCCAAAATCCTCCCCAAAATCTGCACCCAAATCATCCCAAAACCCACCCAAAAATCCGCCCCAAAATCCCCCAAAATTCGCCTCAAAATCCCCCAAAATCCGCCCCAAAAATCCCCAAAGTCGTCCCCAAAATCGTCCCCAAAATCGTCCCCAAAATCTGCCCCAAAATCCTCCCCAAAAATCCCCAAAATCCTCCCCAAAATTCTGCCCCAAAATCTCCCCAAAATGCCCCAAAATCCCCCAAAATCCACCTAAAATCCACCCCAAAATCTGCCCCCAAAATCCCCCAAAATCCTCCCCAAAATCTGCACCCAAATCATCCCAAAACCCACCCAAAAATCCGCCCCAAAATCCCCCAAAATCCACCTAAAATCCACCCCAAAATCTGCCCCCAAAATCCCCCAAAATCCTCCCCAAAATCTGCACCCAAATCATCCCAAAACCCACCCAAAAATCCGCCCCAAAATCCCCCAAAATTCGCCTCAAAATCCCCCAAAATCCGCCCCAAAAATCCCCAAAGTCGTCCCCAAAATCGTCCCCAAAATCGTCCCCAAAATCTGCCCCAAAATCCTCCCCAAAAATCCCCAAAATCCTCCCCAAAATTCTGCCCCAAAATCTCCCCAAAATGCCCCAAAATCCCCCAAAATCCACCCCAAAAATCCCCAAAATCCCTCCCAAAATCCACCCAAAAATCAAAAAAAAAATCCCCCAAAAAATCCCCCAAACTCCCCTAAGAACCCCCCCAAAAACCCCTCAGAGAATTCCCCGGAATTCCCCAGAATTCCCGGAATTCCCGGACCTCTGGGGGGTGCTGAATTCCTGCTGGAAAATGTCCTCCAGCTTCTCCACCACCTCGTCAGCGCTGACGGGGATCAGGCTCCCGTAGGCCTGCAGGAACTCGTCCAAAATGCCTGGAACGGCCCAAAAATCCCGGCCGGGGGGCTCAGAGCGCCTCGGGATCCCCAAAATTCCCAAAATTCCCCCCAAAATCCCCCCAAAATC